ATAATCTTAGCCACAAAATATAAAATGTTCATTGATGGTTCCTTTATTCCATCATCTGTTATCGCAGGAACAGGAGCTCAGATACTCTCAGCGGAAGATAATGAAATTTTCTCAGGAAGCCAAAGAACTGCAGCAACAAACTCACTACAAGCCAAATGGTGGGCCCTCCTACATGCATACAATATGCCCTCAAGCTGAAGACAAAAACTCTGGGAACATTCATAGGTGCTACCGTGCTTGGTGCATTGAGCTAGGGATTTCGTCCGCCGAGAGGGGGACGGTGAACTGTCCGATGCATACAGTGGCGGGCTGAGGGTGTTCCCCTACAGCATTCAAGTCGGTGTTGTGCCTGTTATTGCTGGAGGAAGCCATGGATACTAAAGGTTTCTTTGAGAGAGAGTTAAAGGTTAGGGAAGGCCTTTTGAAGTCTTCCCACAGATGGTGCCAAATGATGATGCACAATCCGATCGGTCCTTACTATCGGTCACCTTGCCTTTGACAGAGTTGAAGATGCCTGAAACAAGGAAAAAACTGGAGATTTCCGGGGAGGAACCCGGTAGGAACACTCCAACGCTCAAGTTAATACTCTTGAGGAGGCAAGGAAAACAATGGATTTCAAGACCAAAGAGCACAAAAATCACATACCACATTCGTTGGGGGAAGAGGGCTTTTTATAACCACCCTGGTACACTCATTCCCATACCTCTGCCAGATCGGGTGTCATCACCTCTGCGGGGACAGACATAACCGCCACTGTCTTCCCTGTCAGGGCTGTCTCTGCAACGTCTGAGATGGCGGTGGCAGGTGGCCGTTGGAGTGCGGCTGTCATGTGTCAGACACCTAATCGGTCATGCTACTTGGAGCCAAAGTGCCGGAGCGGTGCGCGAGGTAGTCTTGAGTTCAGATAGAAGGGTGGCCCGAACTGACCTGAGGTGGGTCTGCTCGGGCTCTTGCCCTTTGCGGTGCTCCTTGTAAGGCTCGGGGTCTCTAAGGGAAAGCTCGGGCTCTTTCTCCTGGGAGGTGTGGATTCCTTTTGGGGGAGCTCGGGGCTCCTCTTTGGAGAGCTCGGGTCTCACCTCGGATCACGGGTATGCTACTGTGCCGAGCTGGCGCTCCTGCCAGGTCACACTCTGTTGTTTCCACGTGTTGCACGGCCAAAGGGTTGGGTCAAATCTCCCTCCATCGCAAATGTTATATATACAAATATGTATGTATATATACATATATATATACATATGCATGCAATATTTACATATATACACACACACACACACATATATATATATATGTACAAATGTATATAATTGGGTCAGGCTCGGGCCGGGTTCGGGCTACCTAAGGGTTAGGCCCGAGCCCAACCTAAAAAATTAAAAGCCCAACTTCTTGGGCCCGAGCCCAGCCCGAGGACCAAAAATCCAAGCCCAGCCCATGTAAAATTTCGGGTTGGACCAGTTCAGGCTCGGGCTGGGCCCGCCCAAGTTTCACCCCTCGTGGAGGCCCAGCTCAGAATACAAAAATCAGCATCCCGAAAACCTTACCAAACGGGCACTTAGCATCTTACGATGGAGACAAAAGACAAGGGAATTTCATGCATAAACACCCCTCAATGCTGCATTAGCTAGGCCAGACTGGTCTAGTTGGTAATTGGTATAATTTGATTGAGATTCTACAGCCTGACCTCCTGCTCCACGGTGGCAATGTTATAAAAATCAATAAGAAGGCTGAACTGTTGTAGGTTGCAGGTCATCAGTTCAATGGTTTTGTTGGTTTTAGTAGAACGGGTACAAAGCATTCCAACATGTAGAACTTGAAAAATCACAAAAAAATGAAAAGATCACTAATCACCCAATTGGACAATCAAGCACAAAATTAAAGTTAAAGTTTGTACATACATTAACCTAGGGGTGTTCAAATTCGATTGATAAATCGAAAATCGAACCAAATCAAACCGAATAAGCTAATTCGGTTCGGTTAATTTAGGTATTGGTTGGTTCAGTTTTTATTTTCTAAAAAAAAAGTTGGTTTTTGGTTCTGGTTCAGTTTGACTGAAATTTTCAATTGAATTGAACCGAAAACTGAATTAATGTTGTTATTTAGTTAAGTATATTAAATATTAATTTTTATTTAATACTTTATGTTAATTAATTATTATATTTCCTAATGAACAATTTATCAATTCTCCATTGGGCTTTAGGCCCATTCTAAATTTTAATTAATAATAACTAATTAAAACCTAGACTCATTATTAATTGTTTATTAGTCATTAATTGTTCTTTAATCAATAATTAATTTTGAAAATGGCCAATTCGCCAATTCCCAATTAGCATAGGGCTTTTGGGCCTATTCTAACTTTTAATTAATAATAGCTGTTTAATTAAAACCGTTGAGCTTTGGGGTCATTCTAACTTTTAATTAATAATAATTAATTATTTAAAACCATTGGGTTTTGTGGCCATTTGAAATTTTTTAATTAATAACACTTATTAAATGCTTATCATTTATATGGAACTAGGGTTCAACGAAACCAAAATCCGAACCAAATTCGGTTAGGTTCAGTTTGATTCTAAAATATAATTTGATTTGGTTCGGTTATTGGAAATGGTAAAACCGAATAGTCGGTTAGGTCCTCGGTTTGAACCAAACCGACCTATTGTACACCCGTAATGTAATCTTGACATGGTGATCAGATCAAATGGATTGACAGTTCAACTGCCTAGGTTGAATGGGTTTGGAACAAATTGATAATTTTTGGGTGACAGTTCGAACGGTTCAATGCGGATTGTAGGGGTGTCACTGGACTGATTTTGGATTGGACCCCATCCAAACCAAAATCAATTTGGACGAATTGGATGGACCAACAAGATATATTGTATTGGACTAGTCCAGACTTAATGGTCCAAAGTATTTATTAGATTGGATGGGATTGGATCTGATCCATCCATAATGAATTTATATTGAATTGGATTAGACTGAGCCAATATATAGTCCATTGATAGGAGATAAGAATATAGGTGTCAATGAATTAAATTTGAATTAGAATTAATCTAAATTAAAACAAATTTGAACAAATTAAACTATCCAAACATTAAATTAAACCGGTCCAAAATGATTTAAAATATTTATTGAATTGGATTGGACCTGATTTATAATGAACTCGCATTGGATTAGATCGAATTGGACCAAATCCAGTCCAATTAACACCACTAGTCGGGTAGAAAACAATGCATGATGGAGCTCTTGACAGAGCACGGAGGCTGACCTTGTCTGCAATAACCATGTGTTGCTTTGCTCCCTTAGCTCTCAACAAATTCTCTTTGACGACCAGAGGATGGTATCTACGAGTTCTGGGTCTGCGTGCCATCAGATTCGTTACTGAGTTTGGCTTTTGGTACACATCTGCTTTTAAGAAACCTGGAAGATTTTCTGTGGGGGAACTTCTTGGGTCCAGGGGACCGCGTGGTAGTGCGGTCTGAGCCTCTGGGGGCCCATGAAGTTGCCACATTACGTGGAAAAGCAAAGCTTCTGAGGAATCTCCTTCGCCGCTTTTACTGGAATTTGAAACCTCAAGCCTCAAGCTGGGGCTCGTTCTTCAAGCTTAATTCTCTTTGGACTCTGGACAAAGGGGAAAAGATTGGGTATGGGCCATGGGGTGCCACCTCTCCTGGGCCGATCAGAATGGTCTGAGCCTCTTGACCTAAAATTCCTTAATTTTTTTAAAGACTGTGCGTAGGTGGGTCTCTCACATTGAAATAGTGTATAAAGAGAGACCGGATCTGCTCTCACGAATGGTGCCTCACACTGACCACAGAGGTACATCCCATTGTGCATTGGGAACATTTCACATAGTCATATTTATGTATTATTATTTATGGGAAATATTCCCAATATAGGATAGAATGTGCCTGTAAAGTCGTTGTGAAGCAACATGTGTGAGGAGCATTCGTATAAACAATAGGCTTATTAAGCACGGGCATGCATATAAAACATGCTGGGCCTTGGGCCATAATTTCTTGACCTTATGGGCCCTTCCCAGTCTGGGATAATATGATATGCCTGGCCCAGGACTGTGTAGGGCAGTCCTGGGCCCACATTTTAGGCTTGATGTATGGGCCGGCTGAGTAGTCATTTAAGGGTCCCCTTTTAAATGTGGGCTTTGGTTCCCTGGAAATGCAAGAAACAGTTAGTTGGGGTTGGGTTAGGGGAACAATGAGCACCATGGTTTTTAAAACCAACTCGGAGATCGAACCAGTCAGGGGTTTGGTTATCAGGTCGACGGTCCGATTGTTTAAACCGAACAGTCAGTCCATTCTGACAAAAAAAATTAAAATTAAAAAAATAACAGTCAAAATCGTTTGAATAGTTAATTGCCCGGATCAGCAGTTTACTGACCAAAATCAATGATTTTTGAAGAAAATCCGGTTTTAAGGAAAACTGAAACCGGTCACCTGACTGTTGCCAGTTTTTCCGGTCCGACTGTCTGGTTCAGTCCAGTCTGATTTCGAAAAACCATGATGATGAGCACAGACATACCGTAACCACAGACCCCTCTCTCACGGACTTCTGGATGGCAATAAGTGACAATTTCCCCCTTTCTTTCTCCTCCCTCTACCAGGGTAATGAATTCAGATTTCGAAATCAAGTATGGTACAGTTATTCTGTTTATTACCTGGTCTCTGAGTAAGGTGCCGTTTACTCTTTTTATTTTAGAAAGATCTTCCAACAGTCGAGATGACCAAAAGACGTATTATGCTTTTTATTCAGGCCTTCAAAAATGAATTTAAAGAATACTTATCCTACGGAAAATCTTAAAAACTTCATTTGAAGCTTCTTGAAATTCCCCCATTTCGTCTTTGGGGCGAACATCTTCTGGGCTTCTTAGCTTTTTGTTACCAAACAGAAAAAAGACCAATTTTCAATCCTCCAAACTAAGCCTAAAAGACCGCACAGAAAGATTTTCCAAAGGCCGCCTAAGCTAGTAGGCATTTTGGAGCCTGAGCATCTTTCTCCAATAATCAAATTATTCATAAGTAAATAAGCAGATGAGTGGAGGAAATTAAGCTAAGACCCATCCTTTCTCACTACTGTATCCTATAATCCTTTAAACTGGCCTAAGCACAACAAAAGCAGTCCAAAAGGCATGTGGACTCGTTTGAAAATTTATTGCCTTTAACGCTACAAAGAAAGAGAGAACTAACTAGCTACACTGATGCTCTACCACTATAGGAAACCATCATATTACATTGCTGCTTCTGTGTCTTCTGGGAGCTCTGGACTGACCGATCAATAGGCGTTTATGGATCAAGTTCAGCACTGACCTGACTGCGAGGACTAAAGCCTCAAGATATAAATATTATCTCCCATGATCGGTCTGCAACTGCTCCTTTATGCTCTAAGGACGCAGAACAAGTATGGCAATTAAGCGAATTGCCATCCCAATTGCAAATGACGAAGTGACTGTGGTACCCATCTGTTTCAGAGACGATTTACAGAGAGAAGTGACAGCAGGAGGCATGTTGAGGTGAAGAGAAGCGACAAGCCATGTGCAACGGAGGCTGCTGAATCGGTGGAGCCAGAAGGTTCTGATCCATAAACTGTTGATCCAGAGCCAGTTGGGTTGGTCGTGTTTAAAATCGAAGCGCCGGTGCTGTAATAGTGAGAACCAGTGAGCACTCTTTCTTTGGAACCAAGCAGAAGAAAATGAAATTACAGATGCTGAGAAGAACTTACCTAGTTGATGGATACTGACATGTCGAAGTGCCTGCAAATAATGTAAAAGTAGATGATGTCTGAAAGTTAGATTTCAAACCATAACTTCGAAAATAAATTCAAGCAAACTCATTCGCCTCTCCATGATTACAGTTTGGGAAGTTAAGAGCAATCAGAAAGACTGGAAAGGATTCTCTGATTAGAGGGGAAATAGAGTTATACAGACCCATATCCAACTATACTTGGATACAGGATGAAAGATCAGTAATGCACCAGGAGAAATGTTTCACTTTCAGACTAGACTGTGAAAATTGTGATCAACATCATTAAGAATGCTGACTGGAAATTTGGGATTGCCCAGTTGAGCTTAACTTTCTAGGCAGTCTCTGTGTCTTCAATGATGTATTACTTCAGGAAGCAAAAGAATCTAGGTTGCAGATGTAGCTTACTTGGATCAACATTGGTAATAATGGCTGCTCCTCCGAAGTTGCAACTAGTAGGAATTGGGTTCTTCTGGTAGTAGTCATTGAATGCATAAGAAGCATGATCACGAACTGTGTTTGGATTGTAACAACTTGCACCTGGCTGAATTGCTGAACAATCTGTACCACCATACCCGCAAGCGTAGTCCAGAGCAACCTGTAAAGCAGTCTGCGATGCAGATTGGCTGGCGATGCACCAGCTCCCACCTGATGATATGGGGGTGGCTGTGGTTGGAGTGGTGTACGGGCTTGTAATGGCTGGGGTCGCCGGAGTTACACCTGGGTTTACTACAGGGGTGGTTGTTGTCGGCGTCGTTGTAGGGGTCGTTGTTGTCGGAGTGGTCGGATTGACCACCGGAACGGTTGTTATTGGTGTGGTGACATCCAATTGTGTGGTCGACTTTGAAACTGAGACCAACGATTTTCCCTTGTGATCCAATTCTTTGCTGTGCGAAGTTGCGCCAATCGGAGCCTTTTTCTCTGCAACTTTTAAGCCTGAAAACAGAAGTTCAAATCAGAACCAAGGTGAGACTTGTATCGTTTTAATAACAAGAAGGGATTAATGTATTCATATTCAATTAACCGCTCCAATGAAATCCGAATAAAAATTAAAAAGAGAAGAATCATCAGACCAGAGTTCTAATGGTTGATAATTGAGAATAGATACTTGGTGTGATCAGAGCCAAATAACTTGACTCAGTGTTTGGTGCTGGCAAAGACCATATTTACCAACATGAAGAACAGAAAGGCAAATTCAAAATACCAGACATAAAGCAAGAAATATGATTACAAACAAAAAAAAAAAAGTAGTCTCATAGAGAGATCGAGAGAGAGAGGGTGGAATTTCCAGCAAACAATAGGAATGATCAATCAGAAGAAGGAATGAAATACCCAGATGAATTAATGGCAATCAAATTCAAACTACATGGCACAAAGTAGAGCCCTGTTTGAAAAATAAGTCACCTGAACAAAATAGAAGACCCAGGAAGAGGAAGAAGAGACATTGAAGAACTTTTGGACCCATCACTCCAAACTACTTCTTCCTTTTCTTCTTCTATTTCTGTTCTTTGCTTCTTTTTTTTTCCCTTGCTGTTCTTCCTGTTGTTCTTCCTCTTTAGCCTCTTGAGGCTGGCTGGATTTTTCTACTTGATTTGAAACAAAGAACAGCTAAGATTTCTCAAATAAGTACTGATGCCGCTGTATTAGTTGTAGAAAAGGGGGATTAATCTTTAGACCCTTTGTTAATAATATACATATATTTGGAAGAATCAGAGCTTTCTTGGGTTGAAGAGAAAGAGGGAGGAAGAGAGAGAGGAGGAATAAAAGAAAACTTGAGAAAGGAGGCATAGGTGTTGGAAGATGCACGCAAGAGCAGGTGCAAAAAGAGAGAAAAAGATGAGAGCAGGAAAATAAAGAAAGAGGCAAAGAGTGAATTGTTTGGAATTTAAGTCTGGTATGTGGGCTGATCTAGTGATGATAGTAATGATAATGATTATGTTGATGGATGCATTTCTTTCTCTTTTTGAGCTTCTCTTTTACTATTTATGGGACTAAATCAAAAGACAAAGGTGGGAAGAGGAAGAAGAAGTATCATATGGTGGTGGGTGCATGTTTCCTCCTTTGTTTATTCCTTAATTCAGTCTTAATCTTAATACCTCCTAAAGGTTTCAGATCATGATCTTCAGTTTTTTTCTGTTGGGTTGTCGGTATTGTGTGTGAATGTGATTTCCAAATTCCAACTGCCCAAGCTTGAAGGCTTCTTGTCTTTCTACTTCTCTACTATAAAAGATGAGAAAATGGTGATCACATGCATGAAGGTTCCTTGAGATCAGATACTCTCCTTCCACATCTCATACTGGGGCCCTCAATTTTGTGGGTCCCATCTAAGAGATCAGTTTGCCTTTAGATCACCTTACTGGGTAGATGGTAGATCTGTTTTTAGCTAGCGCCTAGGCCTAGTGATTAGTGGATGACTGGATGTGATTCATCAGATGGTTGCTCTGGACCATTGCAAGTGGGCCAACAGCCCAACACCTTTTGTTTCTTTATTTGGTAAAGAACGTGGGGAACACATGATGCAAATAGTTCCAATGTTCAAACCGGATCAAACTGTGGTCAAGTTGAGCCGGATCAATCTGGCCATGGCTTCCTTGCAGACATACAGAAGGAACCAGGTACTCCTCACTTGTATGAACCTTTACTTCTGTGAGGAGAAATCCTCTACTAGGGCTCCAAGCAAGTTTGAATGAGGGTACTTGGGTAACTCTGCAACCCCACTCTAGGAGAGATTTTCTGAAGACCCAATTGAAATGAAACACGTGTCCTTACAAATATAGTCGACCGGTCCACATGTAACAAGTTGATTGGCTATCTAGTCCAGACTGGCAATCCCTGAATCCACAGCTGGACTGATGAAATGGTCAAATGGGCCCGTATGGACCACAAACGCACTCGTGCAGCCCAGGCCAAAAGGCATTTAATTAGTGAAAATTTTATCAAAGTGGGCGGTCCAAATCCCTATCTTCACACACTTTTGGCCCCATGGATTTTGAAATACTGCCTATGAAGAGAACACTTTTGGATCCACAGATAGGAGGCTCTTGGCTCTTGATTTCTTCTTCCCTAGACCATCCAAAAGCGAGACTATGTCTTTGTGCAAAAATTTAAAATAGGTCAGGGATTATTATATGTAGTAGCACCATAGATATGCCATCATTTCTCTTTTGAAACCACATATTATTTAATAACTATGTCTAATAAAACCCTAATCATGAATCAATTTGTATATCCAAGTCCAACCCAAAAGACCCCTAACCGTCCAACCAATGGATCTGTTTGGACCTTGAAATTTTATATAAAAATTATATCAATTATGGCCGTCTGTAACTAAGTGGAGCATGGACTGAACTCTGCTTTTAGCTGGGCTTGGCTTGTCAAGTCATCATCACCATCATCTCAACCCTCTCCCAAGTATATGGGGTCGGTTATATGAATCGCCAGTGTGAGCTTCTCTTACACCGCGGTCCCAAGCCCGGATAAAGGAGGGTTATGTCAGGTCGGCGCCGGCACTAAAATTTATACCATACTCTTATGGTCATGGACCAAGAATTGACTCATTTAGGTCTGGATTTTTACAAAGAAGAAGAAGAATAAGACAAACTAATGCATGTTTATCAAATCCTTCGTGGCAACTTTTTTATGAATGAAGTGGCAATCAATATGAATTTGTCTTGGTGTTATCATGTTTAACTAGGTTATGAGTAGTTCTAACACATATTGTTGTCACAATACAAATTAGTTGGATCTTACATCATTAAGCTAAGCTATCATAAATAAAGGGCTGTTTGACGGTTGATATCAAACAGGAATGCCAAATTAGGGTATGACAGCCCTTTTTTAACAGAAAAAAGGAGATAAGTCCTTAAAATAAGGAATGTCAAATGCAGCTTTAATGTATAAGTTGGTTTGATCTTTTTTTAAACTGACTTTGCAAGAAGTACTTCAGCCATAGCTTCCTTGCATTGTATGTATTCGAAGTAGGGGTGTCAATGGACCAATAAGACATTGAATTGGACAAGTATAGACTTAATGGTCCAAAATATTTATTGTATTGGATGGAATCTGGTCCATCTATAATCAATTTATATTGGATTGGGTCGGATTAAACCAATATCCAGTCCATTGACAGAAGATAAGAGTATGAGTGTCAATGGACCAGGTTTGAATTGGACCCAATCTAAATTAAAACCAATTTGAGCAGATTGAAAGGTCCAGACATTGAATTGGATCAATCCAAAATGGTCCAAATTATTCATTGGATTGGATTGGACCCGGTTCATTTGTAACAAACTCATATTGGACCTACCTGCGTTGGGCCAATATGCAGTCTATTGACAATCCTAATTCAAGGAAAACTTATGGCTCGGTTTGAAAAAAGTACAAATACAAATTTGTAGAGTGCAGAACCTTATATTTTATATGTATTTGTATTGCACATATTTATATTTATACACTTCACAAACTAAGCCTGTAGAACAAATCAGAATAAGACGCAGAGACATAACTACTTTTATCATCATCATCATCATATCATCATGTCCTTTTTTGCTAGCCATCTAGTCATTTCAATTTACAGCGGATCCTTCTTCTCATGGGTGCCCGTTAAGAAATTGCTACCAACAAAACGCTCCCAAGACTGTACCAACAACAAAAAGATATTCCGAATGTACAGCTGCAGAGGACAGTTTGGATATGTTGCGAGCGTTTAATTGATAGCAGATTTGAACTCATGGGTGCCATAGATGGTATTTTGTACATGTGACTAAGCCATCTTAATCACCTTTCTCCCATTTTTTCACCTATTGGAGCTACTTTATTAATAACAATAAAACTTCCACTATATCAAATTCCTTCCAAAGACAGATGTGACATCTTGGCTAATTCTAACTTAGACAACTGAGCACTAATGAAGACTATATGAAAAGGAATTTAATAAGTGAAAATGGGAATCAAACTGAACAATCCAAACCCCTATTCGAGACACTATAACCACCCTCCTCCCCCCACAATTGATTTTGAAATACTACTTATGTAGACTTACTTTTGGCTCGAAAGAAGAAGGTTCTTGACTGTCCATCGGAAAGTGGCAATGTGTTTTTTCCTTTGTTGTTTATACAACATTTTTAATAGAGCTTAGGGATTGCCATAAGATAGCTGCATAGCTATGGCATCATTTCTCTTTTGAGAACCACATATTATTAAAAGTATGGAGGTATTGTTTAATAGACCCACTACATATTTCATCTCATATCTAACTCAAAAGTGAATAAAAAGCTTGATCCTGAATGGTTAATGGTATAGGGTAAGGCCCAAACTTTGTATGCATTTGGGGAAGGCATGCTATGTCCTCCCTAATACTTATTCTGGTTTGATAATGGTTAATAAAATTTTAAGGTCCTTGTCCCTTCACCTAAATAAAGTTTGGAATTGAAAACAAAAAAATTCAACCATCATATCCAACATACACACCAAGACTTCGTTTCATAACTTTTGGGGTTCAACCATGGTCGTCGGCTATCTCCTTATATCTTCTTTCACCTAGTTGGAAATATCTTTGAAGAAAATTTAGGGCCTGTTTGGTTTACAGAAATAGGGGTTTGGAATGATTTATTTTGATTCCAATTGTCTGGTTGGACGGAATCAGAAACCCCAAGGTTTTAAAAACTGACTTAGAAATGAAATCATTCTAATTATCGGTTTTCGAGTCAATGGTTCAACCATCTGGGTCTAACAGTTCGAACAATTTGCATATTAGGGTAAATGTTTATATGAGATTTGCCCTAATATGCAAACCTCATATAAGAAAGAAGAGATGTCGACTAAGAAAGCCAGAAAGGAGAAAGGAGAATTGTTGTCGGCTGAGAAAGAAAAATAGAAAGAAGAAGAAGGAAAGAGAGGAGGGAAGGAGAGAAGGAAGAGGAGGAGGATGATTTGATGCTCACCGGCGACGATAGCGGTGATGGCGACAGCGAGGTAGTGGCAACAAATGCAAATCTGAGATCTAAGTTCTTGAGTCTCATATCTGAGGTCTGAGTTCTTAGATCTTAGATCTCATATCTAAGTTCTCAAATCTCAGATCTGAGATCTATTTCTCCAAAACACTTGTAGTCTTCTTCTTCTTCTTCTCTTCATGCTAGATCCCATATCTGAGTTCATGTCTCAGACTGGATCTTAGATCTGAGTTCTCCTCTCTGCAACTTTATATTGCAAATCGCTAGCTGGGTCAAACGAGTCAACGATTCGACTACCCGGGTCAGTGGTTTTCTGACGAAGTCAGCGATTTTTGACCCAAGAACGGGTTAGGGGTGAAATGAAACTAATTACTTGGACGGTTTTCGGGCCAAACAGTCTGATTGTCCAAGTCAATGATGGTTCAAAAACATTGAGAAACCCATTCCCATTCCTACTAAAATGGCATTCTCCCATTTGAGGGAATAGCCATTCCCTCCCCCTCCCCTGGAAATGAGAATCCATTCCAGCCAATTCTGATTCTAGTTCAGGTTTCAGTCTGAACCAAACAAGTGGGGAATAAACCGTTCCAATTCTGAAGGATTTTGATTCCGGTTCCGATTATAAAGTGTGAACCAAATGGACCCTTATTTTTTCTTAATGGTATTCCCCCATTTGAGGGAATAGCCATTCCCTCCCCTTTCCCCTGGGAATGAGAATCCATTCTAGCCAATTTTGATTCCGGTTCCAGTTTGAACCAGACAGGTGAGGGGAATAGACCATTCCGATTCTGAAGGATTCTGATTCCAGTTCCAACAATGAACCAAACAGACCCTTATTTTCAAGAAATGGAAGGATTTATAACATATATATAATTTGACAATATTTATCAAAATATATGGTGCAGCAAACTAGCAATGTTTATACCTACGCTGGCGTAAAAAAATGTTTACACCTAATGGACTTATTATTGACTTCACTGAAGAGACTTGAAAAGCTAAATGGCTTCCTCTTACCAAACCACTTACACTTATTATATATATATATATATGTGTGTGTTATTTTATGAATATTATATTCAAAATGATGACAATTATAACTCTCACGATACATATGAGCCCACGTGTTACCGGCACTATTAAATAATTTATTTTTTTAAGAAAATATAATAAATAACCAAAAAAATCTTATAATAATAATGATAATAAAATGCTGAAAATAACCAGAAAGTATAATATCCAACCCTAAAAAACCAAAAATTAATGTTTGAGTTGGATAATTAATGCAAAAAAATATAAAAAATAATCAACAATAGGTTGGAAAATAAAAAAAATACTATCCAACTCAAAAATATAATATTGTAAAAAATACTACGAAAAAGTACGAACAGGCTCAATGCAGATTTCTGAATTCTACTGCAGAGCTATAAACATTCAAAATGTCAACAACCCCCACTCTATACACCAATGCCCGCCGTGAATGGACATCAATTCCAAGCTGACACCCACCCCAACTGTACTTTGGGCCTAAGACCCTGGGCTGAACCATCAATCTCCCAAAATACTAATATCACAACAAAAAAAATCACAACAAATTCGGATTATCATTTCAATCATAAAGAAAAATTCTACTATTTTTTTATAATTAATCACAAAAAAAACTACAATATCAGAACACAAAAATATTTCAAGCACCAAAACAAATTTGGGTTAATATTTCAAATTTCAATAATAATAAATAATGTTTTTTCCTGATTAATCACAAAAAAAAATTGCAATCAATATGATAAGCAAATATTAACATGTTAACCACATTTTTCTATATGAATAATTCGGGTATTAGCATTTTCGTTCACAATGATAGCTAGGAAAATTTAAAAAAAAAAAATGAGTTTGGAATTCACCAAACTAGACACTCGCCGACTAGGTGGTTTATCTCTTTCCTAACTACTGATCTAGGGGAAATGGTGAAAAAAGAAAGGATTAGATAAAACAGCCATGGAAGCTTTACCCAAAACACATAAATGGAGAAGTCTTCTCTATACCAGGGGCGTTCGGTGGAATATTGAAAAGTTTATGGGGATAGTTCTATCCCACCAAAATGGAATATAAGTGCTTATAATAAGTTGGCCTAGTGTTTTTTTTTAATACTTATTTTCAAAATCACTTATTCTGGGTTTCTTACCAAACATGAATAAGTGTTTATTTTTTCACTTATTGTATGGTTCCACCACTTATAAGTATTTATTTGAACATTTTTTTGTGAGATTTTTTTTTTTTTTTTCGAATACCAAACACAATGCACACCAACTTTTTAACATAGGTGGAAATAGGAGGATTCAAATCCACATCTCTGCTGGGCCTACCCACTAACATGCCAAATGAGTCATCACTCGTCTAAGTATTTATTTGAACAAGTACTTGAAATAAGTGATCCCAAATAGGGGTGGAGGATTGTTCAACATGAAAGGTTTTAGTGTTTACCTAGGGCTGTCAACAGCCGGGTCTGGTTCAACACAGCATGACCAGTCCCATCCTGATTAAAAACCTTAGACCCAGAACCATCTTGATTAATAATTGGTTATGTCTGACCTGACTATACTAACATGTATAATTATTTGAATAAATAACAACCTAAAACTTGATTTTTGATAATAGAATCGTAATAAAAATGGAGACCAAATCAGCCCCCACAAGATTTTCCCTTACAATGTCTCACAGTACATTCCTACCATGTATTGGTAACATTTTCCGATGATAACCTCATAAATTGATGATGTCATCATCGGGAGATATTCTCAATACACAATGGGGATGTACTGTAAAACGTTGTGGGGGGCAATCTTGTAGGGCTGATTTGAACTTATAAAAATGACAGTAAAATAAGAAATCAAGTGTTTTTAATCAGAATTATCTTATATATTATCTATCAAATTTATACTTTTAAAAATTAAATATAATAAAAATTACAAAAGAAAACTAAAAAGCTTTTATGTATTATTAACAAAATAACTGGCTCATGTCTGAATCAGTTCGAAACAAACAAAAACCAGATTGGGACAAAATCATAGAACAATAACCGAGTCAGTTCAGGTCTGTTAGATGGAACCAACCCGTTGACAGCCCTAAAGAAGAGAGTCCAGATGTGCTCCTCACACGGTGCACCTCACATCATGTCCTGGCCGCACATCAGAAATATCTCCCGTACTTGTATTTAATATTCATGTGGAGATGTTTACAATACAGGGTGGGATATGACTGTGAGGTCAGTGTGAGACACGCTCGGTGGGGAGCAGATCCCAATTCTTAATTCTTAAGGAGAACGAGAGGTAGACGGTGAATCAGTCATACTGCCAGAGTGGCAGCTGGGCTCCTGACTCAAATACCCTGCCTGGCCCAATGCAACTGTAAGCCCATTCATAGGCCGGGCCAGCTCGGGTTAGGCCTTCCAAGGCCCAGCCTATCCTGTGGAGCCGTGGAGGGATTTTCCGTCCACAGACCGGAACCGAGAGCATAGAGCACAGACTGACAGACAGAAAAGAAGAAGACGAGAACGGAAGGTATGCAACCATGGTGTTGCAGTGCACTCCCTTCATCATCCCCCTCCATTTCCAGATTCATCTCAGATCACCCGTCTCTCTCTATGCTAGAGAAGAGGTGCACCAACATGTCAGACCTCCAAAAGCTCCATGCCCACATCATCAAGACCGGTCTGGCCAAAGACACCATTGCCGCTAGCAGGGTGCTAGCCTTCTCCGCCACCTCCCCGGCCGGTGATATCAACTACGCCTACTCGGTCTTCTCTCAAATTCAAAACCCAAATCTATTCACATGGAACACCATCATTAGAGGCTTCTCCCAGAGCTCCACTCCTCTTCGTGCCATCTCTCTCTTCACTGACATGTTGCAGTCTTCACCTATTGAACCCCAGAGACTCACTTACCCTTCTCTCTTCAAGGCCTATGCCCAACTGGGTCTAGCCCATGATGGAACTCAGCTCCATGGGAGGATTATAAAACTTGGGCTCGAATCTGATCCCTTCATTCGTAACACAATCATCTTCATGTATGCAACGTGCGGTTTCTTAATCGAAGCTTGTCGCCTGTTCGATGTTTCTAACTCGGACGTTGTTGCATGGAATTCCATGATCACGGGTCTAGCTAAATTTGGGGAAATTGATCAGTCTAGAAGGTTGTTCGATAAAATGCCGAAGAGAAGTACAATATCCTGGAATTCCATGATTAGCGGGTATGTAAGGAACGGGAATTTCAAGGAAGCTATGGATCTGTTTGATGAAATGCAGAAGGAAGGTATCAAGCCGAGTGGGTTTACAATTGTAAGCTTGTTAAACGCTTGCTCTGGCTTAGGAGCTCTCGAGCAAGGGGAGTGGCTTCATACTTATATAGAGAAGAATGAGATTGAAACAAATAGTATAGTTTCAACTGCTATTATTGACATGTATTGTAAGTGTGGGTGCGTCGACAAGGCTCTTCAGGTGTTTGAGACCATCTCTGAAAAAGGGCTTTCATGTTGGAACTCCATGATATTAGGCCTAGCAATCAACGGTTGTGGGAAGGAAGCAATTCAATTTTTTTCAAGGCTTCAATCTTCTGGTTTGAGACCTGATGATGTCAGCTTTATTGGCGTGCTAACCGCTTGCAGTCATTCAGGCATGGTAAATGAAGCAAGGAAGTATTTCTCAGCAATGAAAGAAACATATAATATTGAACCCACAGTCAAGCATTACAGTTGTATGGTTGACGCCTTAGGCCGAGCTGGACTTCTTGAAGAGGCAGAAGAGTTTATAATTAATATGCCAGAAAACCCAGATGCTATTATATGGAGCTCCTTACTTTCAGCTTGTAGGAAACATGGAAACAGTGAAATGGGAAAACGGGCAGCAAGGCAGATGATTGAGTTGGACCCGAGTGAAACTTGCAGCTATATACTTTTGTCAAATGTTTATGCAGCGGCAGGTCAATTTGAGAATGCAATGGATGCAAGGTTGTCCATGAAGGAGAAGCAAATTAAAAAGGAGCCCGGATGCAGTTTGGTTGAAGTGAATGGTGTGGTTCATGAGTTTGTAGTTGGTGGGAGACTGCATCCTCAAGCCAGAGAGATCCATGCCGTGTTGGATGAGCTTAGTGTGATGTCTAAGGAGATAGAACATGTCCAGCATGGTACAATTGATGGAATTAGTTCATGAACGAAGTTTCAGAACAATGTAATATAAAAGAAACACATATTCGAAAAAAAAAATCTCTTTATTGCCATTTGTAACAATGTTCCTGGCATTTGTTTTCCAAAACAATGGTAAAACTTGATTATAGTTTTGTATATGTAACTTCATACACATTTAGACAAACAAAACGCTTCCAAATTTGAGTTGCTGTCTCAACACTGCTCGGTATGCTGTACAAAATTGTTCTGTTTTTCCTCTTCATTTAAGCAAGCCTGGTTGTTACATATGAACATGTTGTACAACATCAAAAACCTCTGGCACTGTGCAGTGAATCCATCTAGAAAACTGGTTCCTGGCAAAGTGCAAAATCAAACGGATTCCCATTTCAAAAGAGCTTTCTTGAATATATAGATCTTGTCTGCGGAATTAACTGATGGTTGCTCCGACTCGAGATGATACTGAGACAATGTTGGCAAAGAATGATGCAGTCAAAATTTTTAAATTCAAGTCTTTCACCTGCTTATTGTAGGGAGTTACAACAGAGAAAACATTCATGCAGAAAATTTGAAGCAATCACGTATCCATTTAAGCAGGCATGGATTCCAAGAAACCACAGAAACATAGACAGAATTTGTTAGTTAAATTAAATGATAATATACCCTTTGGGGTGGGGGGAGGGGGACTAAAATGGACAAGATTGGTGCAAACCTGCACTTATCCTAATCTTTGCATGTGACACCATGAAAGATGCTTGATAACTTCATTCCAAACTGCAATAGAGGGTTCTGTAAATGCTATGGTATCTACATTTGTAATACAAAACACAAGAAGCTTTATTACCTGGGATATTTCGAAAATCAGGCTCTATTCCATTTCCATTGATGTCCATATGATTTGGTGTCACATACTTCCCAACAGTGACAACCACACCAGATCCATCGTGAAGTTCAAATACAGATTGGATCAAACCCTGCAGGTGGTATTGAGCAAAATAAAAATAGCAAAAGCATATTATGACAGACCTGAAATAGAAGGTCTCCTAAATGGATGATTTACTGATTTAGTTGCAGGGCCACTGAGCCAGCTCTCTGGTAGCCTTTTTTCTTTTATTTCTTTATCTTGGTTATCTGAAATTCTCTATGTATTGGAATAGATACAGATCAAAATCCTAAAGTTGACCAGTTCTTCAGATTTGCCACCTCCAATTAAAGGGGCCCACAGATTGAACTGTTGATACTTGATAGTGTTCTGGTAAGAGTAACATGGTACACGCCTGAGCTGAATTATTTGTTAATTTTGAAGAGGTATGAACTAAGTGTAGCTGAAGTTGAGCCCACATTGTTTATCAGGGCCTGAATCTACACCAGAGTCTCACATCTAGAGTCCAATGAGCACCATGAACCTTAGATCCAGAGTATGACAATTTGTAATGCAAAACACAACCAAAGGCAGCAGTGGTAAAGACTTATTCGAAACTCTTAAGAAACTATCTAGAATGCATATTCTAACCTTGCCATAAGTTCTCTCACCAACAAGGACGGCTCTGCAGTTATCATGAAGTGCAGTTGCAACCTGAAAAAGGGGAATGGATGGGAAAAAGTCCTGTTTAACACATCTAATTCCATTACAGATAAATGGAGAATGGAGCCACTCACAATTTCACTTGCACTAGCAGTTTTGCCATTCACTAATACCTGCATCAGAGATGACAATTAGATAATTATGGTTGAAGTGGAGTTTTAGATATCATCTATCATTAAAAATTGTGAATCACAAAGCAATAATTTCTACTATTCATAACTTCTGTGCAGCTATGCCTATAAAACCATCCAATTGCCAGGTTATTTAGGAATGGTTTAAGCATTCAGTCTCACCAAGTGACTACTGCATGCTTATCTAGACACCTAAATTTCCCAGCAAAGATTTGATGTACATCATGGTTTTCCTTGCATGCAAAAATGTACAAGAGGTTTTCATACAATGACTGGAGAAGTAACCGAAGGTGAATTTTCTGCTACAATATTTCTTTGGTACTGGGGATCCCTTCCAACAGTATAAGTCACCTGCACATATCATTAAAAGAAGGATATGATAGCTGTATAATCCATGTAATTTCAATATTCACTACGTCATAGCATGGTAATAGGAAACATGGTAGCTAATATTATGAAGTCTAAACCACATGTAAAAAGTCATAAACATGAATATGGAGCTCATTGGTCCAAACTCCAAACTGTCCAAAAATCAGGCCCCACAAGGATTGTCCACAACATAATTTTCAGAATCACCATTCTGAATACCCATAACCATGTGATCAAAAGACTTCTATAGGATGAAACATCGGAGCTGGTGCAGATTCATTTAAAGAAATCCACATTTGCATTGTTCAGGGGCCACTGCTTGGTGTAATGGTAAAATCTAAGGTTAACAAGCATGAGAACATGGGTTTGAGTCTGAGAGCAGTCACTTTGTGCTGGAAAAAAAAAATGCCAACATTAAGTCCGTATCCAGTCCACCCCTCCCAAGACCCCAGATGGCTGGGACCAACATTGCATAGTGGCCATAGTTGCATTGCTCATATCATCCAACAAAGACACTACATACCAGCCCACCACAACTAGCCTGACATCTTGCCAACAGAAAGGTGTGCAAGTATATGGCATCCACATCACTTTTCTTCAAAGTGCAAGAGATACAATCAATTCAAGATGTGGTATACTTGTACTCTTCAGAACCATAATCATCTTGGTAAAAATAATAAAAAAACTAATACCTAAACAAAGAGGATACAAACATTATAAGAATTTAAAGATGAGTGTGACCCTTGAATCTTTGATAGAGTTGAAATGGCAAAGGCAAGAATCATGTAGCTAACCCAATATAAAAAGGGCATGCCAGTGCACAAGGCTCCCACCAATGCGGGGTCCGGCGAGGGACAGATGTATGCAGCCTTACCCCTGTATGTACAGAGAGGCTGTTTCCAAGATTTGAACCCTGGTCACCCAGGTTGTAATGGAGTAATCCAACCATTGTGCCAACACCCACCCTCAGCTAACCCCATATAGCAATAATAAAGTTATGTTGAGTTAACCCACATCTAGTAACAGAGCTAATACCACATTTGGGCCATTTGGGCCAGCACTTTGAACCAGAATTTATCATGCCATCTTTATGTGGGCATTATAAAGCTCCTTGCTGATATAGCAGCCCCTATATTTAACACATGAAAACAGTTTGTCATTGCCCCTTCTTCTCAGAGATACCCTAGACAAACAAATACTTGGTTGTTCTCATTTAAGTACTCAAATCAGTTAAGCAACACTACAAGCCAATAGCAAGAGGCTAACCTGTGCCCATGAATGTGGCTCTATATAAATAATATACTGTCCATGGTACATTGACCCAGAATACCTATAATAAAAATAATAATAACAAACAACAACAATGGTAATAATAATAACAAGCAGGACTATTATTATAAAATGCAACTAATAGAACAATCACATCATCTACAAGATCATTCAATCTATTTGATGCATTTGGTCAAAGCATAATCATAGAGTTATACTGCATCTTGAAGGCTCATAGCTCAAAAAGATACATACCGTCTCCCCCTCATTTAGAAAGAGTTTAGCAACTTCAATGCCAACCTGAGATGAGAAAGTGATGGTATCAAACTCACAAATTTAAAAATGTTAATCATTAGCAATAAATGACTGAACGTAAGAATTCAACTGTACTAACTTAAAAAAGCCTTATTCCAATTATATGGAATCAGGTAGAATTAGTAGAGGAAAGGGTGTTAATTGAAACAATGTTTGGGGCAAAGAGAGAGAGAGAGAGAGAGAAAGAAGAAATTCAAGGAAAGGGTCAAAGTTGGATCGAAAAACTGAGAAAGAGAAAGAGAGAGACAACACAGCCGAATGGTGGGTGAGACAACTTGTGTCAGTCGACACCCTAAAAGAAATATTTATATTAAGTTGTAAAAGGATAGATATGCCCTTAATATACATGAGAGATATACAGAAAATAAAAGTAAAAGTACAAAAATAGCCCTACGGCTAGATTTCACTATCTCCACACTCCCCCTCAAACTGATGCCTCCATGAGAAATAGATGTCGAGCCCGTGTCATTACTTTAGTTAACAAGTCTTCCAGTTGGAGCCTGGAGGAGACATGAGGAAGAGATATGGTACCCTCAAGAAGGAGATTGCGAATGAAGTGGCAATCAACTTCTATGTGTTTGGTGCATTCATGGAAGACGGGGTTGGATGCAATTTTGATTGCACTGATGTTGTCTACATAAGAGGAACAGACAATGGTGGCTCACTTAATATTTCAAATAGAAGAATCTGAAGCCATATGATCTCACTACACACGGAAGACATATTCTTGTATTCAGCTTCAATGGAAGATTTGGGCACAATAGCTTGTTTCTTGCACTTCCATGAGATAAGGGAGTTGCCTAGGAAGACACACCAGCCAGTTGTGGACCGTCGGGTGTCAGGGCATCCAGCCCAATCAGCATTTGCACAGGCCATAAGATGAATGGGAGATGATGAGGAGAAGAATATCCCATGTGACAGTGTGCCCCGTACATATCTTATAATCCGATGAACTGCAGATAAATGTGGTTGTCTCGGAGAAGACACAAACTGACTTACTATCTGAACTGCATAAGATATGTTCGGCCGAGTCATGGTGAGATAGATTAAACTGCCCACTAGCTAACGATAAAGGGTAGGATCTTCAAGGGGAGACCCATCATCTTTGTTGAGTTTCAAATTCAGTTCTAGTGGAATGTCCACAATCTTAGAATCACTAAGATTTGTCAGCTTAACCAGATCAGCCGCATATTTCTGTTGATTAACAAAGTAGCCTCGATAATTTCTACTCACCTCAAGGCCCAAGAAATATGTCAACGGTCCCAAGTCCTTCATCTTGAAGGATTCACTGAGTAACTGTTGTAGCCTAGAAATTCCTTCTATGTCATCCCCTGTAATAAGTATATCATCAACATAAAGGAGTAATATCGTTACTCCTTGCTTCTCAAACCAGGCCCTAGGAGCTTGCTTCAAGCCATAAAGTGACTTCTTCAAACGACAAACAAGTTGTGGATCTGTACAACATCCCAGAGGAGGCTTCATGTAAACTGTCTCTTTCAATTCCCCATGGAGAAAAGCATTCTTGACATCCATCTGATGAATTGTCCACTATTTGATTGCAAGCACAGCCATCAAAAGTCATACAGTGGTCATCTAAGCTACAGGAGCAAAAGTCTCCTCATAGTCTATCCCATATTCCTGTTTTTAACCCTGTGCTACAAGCCTAGCTTTGTATCTATCTAGGTTTCCATCAGATTTTAGTTTCACAGAATAAACCCATCAACTTCCTATGAGATAGGGGTGTTCACGGGTCGGGTTGGGTCGGTTTCTTGGGATTTTCCCAATCGACCCGGCCTGGTCGGGTTAGCTAAGGTGGGAACAAAAACCGACCCATTGACAGGCCAAACCGACCTAGTCGGTTTGAGTCGGGTTGGGTCGGTTTGGGTCGGTTTCGGTTTTGCTCCTGTACAAAGCCAAATAAAATCTGAATTAGTTGATAATTTGATATTCAAGAGTCCAAGATAAATCTAAATTTAATTCAGGTAAAGAATAAAATCAATAAATTCTTCA